ACACTATTTGCCGATTCCGTTTTTTTGCCGGTTCGGCAACGCTGCAGATGTACAGTTCACTCTAATTGAAAGCAATTGATATCCCAGACGTGGTATAATAATAGAAATAAGAAAATAAAACAATGTTTGGAGATATGTTTTCATAAATAGGTATTTTTGATTCTGACTATTATACGTTTACAAATATCGATGTTTTAGGACCCAGAAATGCAGAATGTGCTGTTTGTCTACATTTGGTGTGGATTTCTAGATCATAAATTGACAAAAATTGTTTTTGAAATAACAAAAGATGATGAATCAGTTGGAATACGTTTTATATCCTTTTTTTGCAAAATAGCAAAAATCCGTACATTTCTACAGGTACGTATTTTGTACAACACCCTGTACGTGATATACAGACAAAACTAGATTTCCATGCATGAACAGTCGTCAAAAACAGTGAAAACATCCTACCAAATAAAATAGCTAGAAAATCGACCTGTTATTTGCCGCATTCCCATTAGTCCGACTTAAATAACTGACCGTCTTTTGTGAAACTGGAAATTCTATGAAGGTTGTCCTAATTCTAAAGCACAAAGACATAATATTACATCTAGAATGTACCCTTATTTATAAGGCAACCATTTTTTCACGACTTTACTCAACATTTCAATAGAAATCACTGATATTCAGAGATTTTTGACAGCTTCTGTCAAATTGTATTTCGATAAACTATTTTTCCATTGGTCCAAGGGACCGTCAAATATTAATGTTGGTGAAATTGGGCCTAGGTCAGCCAAACAGGCCCAATGCAATTAGTCCATTCTCGATAGAACCAACCCGTTTGATAACTAGTTTCTTCCCTGGTCTAAGTATCGCCCATCTGGCAACGAGACTGAACCACATTAGTATACAGTATATTCAGATAAGAGATAGACCGGATGTAAACAAAAGGTTCGGGTGATTTTCACGCTAACGCCGCCGTCTCGACGTAAAACAGGAGCCCTCATTGGTCAATTCGCAATTAAATGCCTATGCCGAGCGGCAGAGCAGTCGTATCTTGGCAGAGTCACATTCAGGTTCAGACGTGTTACGTATGTCGTGTGCATCATTGCAATTTGATATTTCTTTGGACGTTTTCGTTTGTTATCTTATTAAGTTGTTGAGTTTGTCGTTGTTATTGTTATACCTTGTTATTGATTGTTATTGTTATCAACTGCTTGCCCAAAATGCCCAGTAGTACAGATACTGTCGATGAAGTTGTAAACTCCTGTAGTCCACCTAGGAAACGCTCTAAAAAAAGACACCTGAGTGCAGAAATGAAAGAGGTCATTTTGAATATATATATATATATATATGTAAGATCGAGCGCGAGGAGAACGAGGCATCAACCATCAAAGAAATTGTTGTGAAGGTTTCTCACAAAGTTGGGGTGTGTCGCGCATCAGTGTTTAATGTGTTAAGACAATACAAAAAAAAATCACACCTTTTCTGAGCCAATGACCAGTAAACATCGCAAAAGTATTGTTAAATCATTGGATGAAGCTGATAAGCATGCGATTAGGAGGAAAGTGCATGAATTCTTCTTTAGGAATGAAATACCTACTATAGATAAAGTACTAAAGGAGGTAAATGGAGATACAACGTTGCCAAATTTCAAACGATCAACTTTCCATGCGTTACTGAAGCATTTAAATTTCAAATGGAAAAAACGGGGTCGTAATAGTTTACTACTGGATAGAGAAGAAATTGTGCTATGGAGGAGGGATTATTTAACAAAAATTGGGAAATATAGAAATCAAAACAGGAAGATTTATTACCTTGATGAAACGTGGGTAAACGCAGGACACACTACAAGTAAAGTATGGGTTGATGATTCTGTAACTTCATCCAGGAGGGCCTTTCTAGATGGACTGTCCACCGAATTAAAAAATCCAGCAGGTAAATACGAGTAATAGACAACAATCGGATGTTCTTCAAACCTTGGGAACAAGGTTCTAAACATTAATTCCAGGGGGCAGATAAAACATATTACAAGTAACAAAACTTTTATAACTTTCGATAAAATGCGTGGATGTTTTATTGTCATTTTCATTTGTTAGAACTTTTTTAAGCCATGTTTTTATGTGTTTTCGATATTTCAATAATTTTTTAATATAATCTTAAAATATGTCGAATATTATAAACTTAAAAAAAGTTACTAAGTTTTATATTGTGTACCGTTCCTAATATTTCTAATCATTTTAATTCATACTTTAAGCTTTATAAAGTTATAATTTGTTAATATTAATATTTGCGCGTATTTCAGGTTCCTGATCATTCATTTTTCAAAGGTTTATAACTTTAAATTAAATTGTGAAGCGCTGAGTAATCATACGACGTTCAATATTCTTTCTTTCAATATGACTAAATAATCCCAATTATAGCAATCTGATACTCATGTCTCAATGTTTTTTCGCTGAATGTGATGAAAACATTTGAAAAAGGTTCGCTTATTGAAATAAATCTACACCAGTTAGTACTTCGATTTCTAGGTAAAGGGAAAAGGCTGATTATCTGCCATATTGGCAGTGAGGATGGATTTGTTGTTGACGGTCTGTGGTGCTTTGAGTCTAAGAAAACTGGAGATTACCACGAGGAAATGAATGGCGAATCGTTTGAACAGTGGTTTTCAAAAATTTTACCGAACTTAGAGGAAAACGCAGTAATTGTGTTGGATAATGCGCCTTATCATTCTCGAAGAATGGAGAAGGTCCCAACAACGGCTTCAAGGAAAGTTGATGTTCAAAATTGGCTCCGCTCGAAAAATATCAACTTTGAAGAAGCAATGCTGAAAGTACAATTATTAAGAATTGTCAAGGATCACAAGGCGGAATATCAAAAATACGCCATTGACGAAATGGCAGCAAGTCAAAATAAAACTGTGCTCCGTTTACCTCCATACCATTGCGAGCTCAATCCCATTGAGCTCATATGGGCAGAGGTTAAAAATTATATAGCTAAGCACAATACAACTTTTAAATTTTGTGACCTCAAAGGACTTTTCAAAGAAGCACTAGAATTAATAACAGCGCAAAAATGGGAAAACTGTATTAAGCACGTGAAAGACAAAGTTGAAAAGAGAATGTGGGAACTGGACAATATTTTAGAGGAACAAGTCGAGCCATTCATTATTGACGTTGGTGCTTCAGGCAGTAGCGATGATGAAAGCTCATCAAGCTCATCTTTCCAATAAAAGATGTCGTTCATCAAATTCGGTAAGTTATAAGTAATTATAAAGCTACTGTATTTTTTAATTAATTATTGACATTTTTGAACCCATTTTGGCAAAACCTATTCAAGAATCTATTTTCTGAGAATGTTCAACCATGCACATTTTTTTACGTTTTGAACGTTTTAATTTGGTTACATATTTACCTAGAAATCAAAAAATATACTAATCAATATTCTAAAAGCAATTTTAAGAGATATACGATTATTTTTAATTTAGGCTAATTTAAACGCCATTTTGAGATTATATTCGACTGTATTTCACCAAACATCAGGCGGCATCCGAAGCTGGAAATCGAAGCGAAAATTTTGAAACCCTTATGTATATTTACATCATTATATATTTCTTACCCCACCCCCACATGATCCTATATCCATCACCAATCGTATACACATCGAATTGTGCTAATTTACTACAAAGTTACGCAAAGCAGCATCTACTATCTAAAACATGTACTGCGTGACTCTTAATACGTCCCTGCCGAATGTTACAGCGTTCGATGATCACGTGGTCTTGTTTATGTCCGGTCTATCTCTTATCTGAATATACTGTAGTAACTATGTAGTCAGACAGCGTCAAAGCCCACCGGGAACGAGTGTCACGTCTTGAAAGACTCCTCTCTTTCAAGGACAAATATTCGGGGGAATCAATGAAGTGTGAAATATATACTGATAGGTAATGGGGTCGAAATGTATAAATATGCTGTTGCCCCCAACCCTTACATCCCCCAACCCCCGATTTCTAACACCTACAAAATTTTTCCTGAAAATTATAAGGAGCAGTTTATATTTTTGCGCACCGCCACTGACTTTCAAAAACAGCAAAGATTTTACATCGTTGGCATAGCAGTAACACTGTGTAAAAAAGCCATCGAAATCCAAGCGGTACTTCTCAAGTTATAGGCGGTTATCATATTAGCGGACAGATCGACAGACAGAGAGACAGTCCGACGGATATAACTGACATGGTTTTTCGCCATGTACATATTATATAAGATTCAAAAAATATATATCATTTTCGAAAATTTGCGCGATTACCATATGTACTTCCCCGCCAGTAGACAGACATTTTATGGAATGTGTTTTTACTATTTATTTAAAGTGCCAATCAACGTAAGCGTAAAGTTAGTGTTTTTATTATTTTTTTTAGATCCCTGTAGAAGGAATATATCTTCCGAAACATGGTAAACCTTGCAACAGGAAACTGTGTTTCTAAGACCCCAAATCTGAGATATTAAATACAACTCTGCACTCAGCAAAGGATTAGGTAAAGGCATACGAATTAGAAATGAAAAAAAATCAAAAATAAAAAACACATATAGTGATAACCATCTTGTCGAGATGGTGTTAGTGTTTTCAAGATGCTGCTGATGCGTAGCGAGCGTATTCATATCTTTTCCTGGGTGTTTGTTTACCTCTTACAAAAAGCTAGGGACAGTTGCTTCCAGGAAGTCGAGATGGGCACCGTGGGGTTATCTAGACAGCTTCGAATGTTGCAAATTTTTAATTGAATCTCAAAAATTTTTAATAGTATTGATAAGCACTATGTAACAGGGCCGTACTTAGAGCTTCTTATCAAATAAACAGTAAGCCCTTTTCTTCATTTTTTCATTTTGTCATTGACGTGTTACAACACTTTGATAATTCAAGAAGCAACTTGAAAAGAAAAGTTGAAGATTCAGAATACGAGGGATGTCTTTTAAGTTTTACATATGGAAATAAAACAACACGGTAGGTAGTTTTAAATAACTTTATTGTTTTTCGTAGTATTCTCCACGAAGATTAATACACATCTGCATGCGCTCGAACCAATTTTCGAAGCACTTATTCCACTCGTTTGCTGGCAGATCCAAAACGGCATTTTTGAATGCGTCAAGTGCTTCTTCTGGTGACTGGAACCTTTGACCACGCAGTATGTTTTTAATTTTCGGGAAAGTAAATAAATCGTTAGGACTTAGATCTGGACTAGATGGAGGTTGGTCCAATAATTCCACGTTTTCTTCCGTTAAATACTGCATTGTTTTTTGGGCTGTGTGCGAGCTTGCATTGTCTTGGTGGAGGATGATTCGTCTTTCGGGGTTGATTATTCGACATTTGGCAAACAACTGGTGGTACACCGATCCGCAGTAACAGTTCTTTGCTCATTAAGAGGAATTGCTACAATATGACCCGCTTTTGACACAAATGTCGAGACCATCTTTTTCGAAACACTTCGAGAACGGATGACCTTGGAACACCCAAACAGCCGACTGTCGTTTATTTTCTGGTTCATAACAGTAAATCCACGATTCATCACCACTAACAATGCTGTACACATTTTTTGAGTTTCCGGAATTGAAACGGTCAAACGTTCTTTTACACCAATTAACCCTGGCTGTTTTCTGCTCTTCAGTCAATCGAGAAACTAATTTTCTTACTCCTAATTCTTCATGTACATTTTTTTGAAGATCTTCAAGGACGCCTCAATATCGCGATATGTCACATGTCTATGTTCAATGATGAGTTTGCGCACAGCATCGACGTTTTCCTGGGTGACTGCTGTTTTTGGTGCACCCACCCTGGAACCGTCGCTAAGACTCACCCGTCCACGTTTGAATTCTCCATACCAACGGGAAATTGTCGACTGATGTGGCGCTTAAGTTCCATTTTTCTAATGACTTGGTGATACTTAAAAATTCACTGCACGTATTGTTGTAAAACTTTCAATTTAAGTTTACTAAAGAGCGAGGTTAAGATTCAGTACTCACGTTCGATCCGCGCGGCCTACTATGTTTCTATATGCAAAACTTAAAAGACATCCCTCGTACCCTGTATATTTGACAGGCCAAGTCATTGTTGGTTGACAGCGCGGTCCGAGGGACCCTAGCTCTTGTGTCATAGTGTCAGATTTTAAGTATGTCAGAACTCGTAACTCAGAAACCAGACAATTTTGAGGAAAAAAAAGGGATGAAAGGTAGAGAAGGAAGAAAGAGCGCGAATAGGAAGAAGATAATCTTTTAGGACAGTTAGCGTTCAGGCATTGTTAAAATCACTTGACAGATTTTGATATTGCCTAAGAATATTTGTTTTTAGTAAATAGTTTGTCAAAATGCTCCAATTTTGGTTGTTCTAAATTCGTGAATTAATTTTTATTACAGCGCGAGCCGCGAACTCTTCTGCTTGCGAAGTTGCTGAACTATGTAGTCTACTGACTCGCGCAACAGAGGGTTGCTGTGCGATCCGCGTGGCTATAGCGCCGATGTGTGCTTAATGTCGTGGGGACATCGAGGTCCAACGAGAATAGACCTTCAGATAACATATTTTTGAATATTCAAGAGCAATGAAAATATTTCACACTCTCATTGCTCCTAAATATCGCCGTCAGTTTCTAACACCTTCAGAGTTATAGAAAAATAATATTAGACTCATCTCATTTTAATAGGAAATTAAATTTCAGGAGGGAGCTTAACTCAAGTTACGCCAATTTGTAAAATTATAAAATATACATATATCATTTTACAGCGTATTGCTTATCGCCAGTTTGTAAACTTGTATTTTTAATTTTATCACTATACGCACTGTGACGTATCTATCTTTCTAACTTCACCTTCAGCACGAATACAGCTTTTTTCGATAAAAAAGACAAAAACTTAATTCAAATGATATCCCCGTCGAAGTTCTGAGTGCAAAGCCAATAAAAATTTTGTTTGTTTGTTTGTGCTGCCATATTTAACTTTTATAGGGAGTTGAATAGTATTAGATACTGCGGATACTTATTTCGCCATAATATTCACTGTTCCCCTTTTTGTAACCATTTTGTCTTGTAATACATTATTTCTTTTTTTAGATTTCATGTGTTTTTATTTTCCATCACTTTAATATAACTCGGACGTAACTAAGTCTTTATTCTATGAATTACGACCATTAAATTTCACAAAATGACGAATCCACTTTTTTGGAAATTTTGAACACATAAAATGGAAAATGGGTTAATGGATGCTTATTTTTGAAGCTTGTAAACATGAGCAGATCCACCCACAAATTCAATTATGATGATGGTATTTCGACAGAAGAATGAAAAAATAATTACGTATAAAAATGGTGAAAGCGCACAATGATGCGATACCGTTAAACCTGAACGTGCAGTAGTTATAATAAATAGTCCTATGGATTTAGTTTAGAACTGTTTTGTCAGATCAAAGCCCAAATACTGGATCACTAGAAACAGCTATAGCGCTCACATAAGGTGACAATCGACAGGATTTCCACAATATGACTGTGCGGATCATATGGCAACCAGAATCTGTACGACTTTACGCCTTTACGATCCTATATTATGAGGGTTAGTTGTTAGTTGCTTCCCACTTTACAGTGTGAGGAGCTCATGATATTCAAGTTCTTGTGTGTTCAGGAAGTCGTCCGCGGTGGTTTAGTTGCAAAGAGAGTTCGATGCAGTGGCGTAGCAAGGGGGGCAGCGGGTGCGGGCCGCACCGGGTGCAACTTTTTTGGGGTGGCACCCACCCGGTGACCCAACTTTAACGACAATGTACAAGCATAAAAAAAAATAAATCGCTAGCACAGCTGTATTCTTCGGTGAATTGTTCAATGTGTAGTGATAAAAAAAGAAACTTAAATTATGTTATTTGTGAAGATTAAAAGGATTGATTTATTCATATCGAATATTTGATAGGTAAGATATTATAAATAAATAACTTTCCTAGAAGAAAGACGACGGGGGTGGTGAGATGGCCAGTGACGCAGGACTCACACTCAGAAGAACTTCAAAAAGATATGTTGGAATGTCTTGACCGATTCAGGGTTGAACTACAGACAAGATCGAAGTCTCTTCAAGACCAAGCTTCATTGTTAGAGATCGTACAAACAGATACTTTGCTTTAAAGAAATAAAGAAATGAAATCAGCTACATCCAAATTTACTGATTTTTATGATGAGGTCTCAGAAGCAGAATTACTTTTGGAGATACCAAAAGACACTTAAAAGCCGCTAATGTTACAGTTTCTGATTGGGTATATCTAGAAGTTTATTGTAGAATGAGATTTTACAGAATCTCTTCCAAATCTTGTGATTGCCCTAAAATTGTTCATGACGTGTCCGTTGCTTCATGTGAAATGAGTTTCAGTAAACTAAAATTAATAAAAAACTATTTGCGGGCAACAATGACCCCAGCTAGAAAGAAGATAGTTTAGTAAGATAAAAATATTTTTTCTGTCTTAGTTTTTATTGTTTTATTATTTGTTCAATATTTTAAATATCAATATTAAATGATCCATAACGTTTATAAATCATATAAAATTTATTGCTTTTGACTTTAGATGGGGTGACAGAATCAACTTCAGCACCGGGTGCCACCCGAGGTAGCCCCGCAACTGCTTCGACGTTAGACACCGAGCAGGCTACAGGTTGTCAATTATGGTTTGCTAATGGTTGGTTTGGGCATCAGGCCATATCGCATCTTCTAAAGCTGAGGGACCATGTAAGTGGAAAAACCTACTATGAGCACAATTATGCTTCCATATTCTTTATTCAAAATGTGCGTTTCATAACCACTGACATCAACAAAGGGAAACATTAGGCGCATATAACCACTATACGTCAGAATTTTTCAGTTCTTTTTCGTACTACAATCAGAAGGGTGTATTTCCAATCGTCTTAAAACGAACTTATTTCATGATGCTACTCAAACAAGGTGGCCAATATATAACTGACTGATCTAAATTGCGCGCCATTTTTGTAGGTGGCGAAGTAGTAGTTGTTTAACGCACATAATGTCCAATTCATCATGGTGCGCAACACGATCCCACAACGCGTCCGTATTGTTAAAACGTTTTACTTAAATAATGAGTCGTTTGTTGCAACGATTTGGAAGCTACGACAAGACTTCGGTCTAAATAATGTGCCCGGTGTGAACACCATTCGGCAGTTGGTGCGGAAATTTGAACAAACAGGTGATGTTAAAGACTTGCCAAGGTCGGGCTGTGTTCGAACTGTTCGTACTCCGGACAATATCGAGAGAATTCGTGAAAGTGTAGTGGAGCGCTCTGAGACATCTACCAGACATCGTTCCCAAGAACTGGGTATTTGTCGCACATCATTATGCACTATTATAAAAAAAGGCTTGCATTTGCGGCCATACAAAATTCAGCTAACCCAAGAACTACAGCCTAGTGACCATGAAAGTCGCCGACATTACAGTCATGCAATATTGCAGCTTAATAACCAAAATAACGATTTTTACCGACAACTGATAATGAGCGATGAAGTCCACTTCGATATGAACGCATTTGTTAATCAGCAGAATTGTTGTATCTAGGCATTAGAGAATCCTCTTGTTATCCATCAACGATCACTACATCCTCGTTGAGTCACAGTTTGGTGCGGTATTTGGTATGGATGCGTCATTGGACCTTACTTCTCTGTAGACGCTGCAGGTAATTCTCTTACTGTCACTGGCGAGAGCTACAGTGATATGGTGCAAAACTTTCTGGCTCCTCAAATCCAACAATTTACCCTGCAAAACATGTGGTTTCAGCAGGACGGAGCAACTTGTCACACGATTAGGAAAACAATGAATCTTTTGCGAACAATATTTCCGGGACGTTTAATTTCTCGATTTGGTGATGTCAACTGGCCACCAAACCAAGGTCACCGGATTTAACGGCTTTTGACTTTTTATGGGGATTTTCGTAAAATAAAGTTTATACCAACAAACCAAATACTGTAGAGCAGCTGAAGAACAATATTGGAAGAGATTGAAAATATTCGTCCCGAAACCTACCAAAAAGTGATGGAAAGTATAATCAAAAGGGCTCAGGTTTGCGCGGCCGACATTTGTCTGGCATTATTTTTCATACATAGTTTCTAAGTTTGAATAAAAGATTAAGATGAAAAAAATGGACGTATTTTATTTCATTTCACAAATATTCAAGATACAAACCAGTCAGATACATATCGGCCACGCTGTATAAACAATATCACAACCAAAGCGCATAACTCTGAATTGTGACATGCGCATTCCTAATATTTACCGACCGCATCAATGGCAATACCATACCGGCTCCGCAACATAAACTTGGACGTACCTGATGCTCTTTTAAGCATAGCTAACATGATTTTAATCTCCACACTAATCCTTTAAGTGAACGTCACTCACTGACATTATCATTGTAACACCAAACCACCTTTCGGCGACAATCGCGGCACTTCTTGAGGACGCCGATAATGACGCAGTAGTCGCGCGCCGTGACACAACAACGCGGCAGTAGGCTATGACACCGCCGGCGATTGTCCATTGTCATCCGCCGTTCGCCGCTTACTTTGCAAGTTTGATAAACAACTGATGATGGCCGGCAATCCCGGTGAAATTCGCAGTGCAGTTTTGGGGAGGCGAGCTTCCAACACTGAGAATTGGAGCACGGTTGAAGTATCTAGAAACGGCGGGAACTGGGCAAGATCGACGTTGCGAAATGACACGAAGCGCTCGGAGATAGCCGAGGGTCAAACCAGCGACTACCAAAACCTAGAAACTCCGCGTGTATTTCGGCGGATTATGTGGGAAAAAAGTGCAACATAATAATATTGTGGTGGATGCATCCACGAAGGGGGTCAGAGACCGGCCTGACCCTGAACCAGCCTCAGAAGTAAAGGCACAAAAGGTTACAAAGATAGTAGAGGAATTTACAAGCAACACTGCCTAAAAATCAGTAGCATCTCTGCAAGCTCTGGTAGATGCGGGAGGGAGCTCTTTAAGTGCTACAAGGTCAAAGTTTCGTCAATTATACATATACAGAAGAATCGACTTCAATCCGATTTCGTATCGTTTTAAGGTTGTGACAAAAGTCACTAAGAGTGCTGAATAAAGAACTACCTTTACTCTTAAAGAAACTTAACTGTAATAAGCGTTTAAGTAATGTATTCCATAAATAAAATCTAGACAGATCAATCGCTATGTGGTGTTTCTTTTTTATTTATCAAAAACTTCCAATAAGATGACAATGAATGATCTGCGGGAATATCACCTTGTACTCAAACATACTTCTTGAGGCTGATGATGACTTGTATACTACGAGTATCAAATTGCTTGTCACACTTCTAGAAATCTACTTAGATCTACTGGAAGGTATTTTGCACTGCTGCTCTGACAGGAACACAGAAACGCCATGAGGAAGAACTTTTATAAGATTTGCAATGAATTTTTGAGAACGGGATAGGAACTTTGGCTGGAAAGTGACAATATTCGAGTACCAAAACGGAAGAGAGTAGCATAACACATAGTACGCTACTGCTAGCGGGGTGCATTTGCATCGGCAAAGTCGGTGGGCGCGTATCCCGCTCTATTCAAAACACTCCTTGTTTGGGTGCAAATGTTGTCCGTTTTTAACAAAGTCAGCAGACGTTGTTCTTCAGCATAAAGAATGCAGATGCAATGAATTGCTTAAAGCCCTGAAGCATTTGTATCAAACTTTGTTCAAAACAACTCGATCTACTCGAGATTGAGCGTTAATGAGGGTCAATAACAAACCTTTGCCTTTGATATCCACTGTTCGCTCTCCATCTCTAGAACCTCCTATTTAAATAGAAAAAACTAACTCATAGGTGATTATTATACAATACCTGAAACATGTATACCTGACTCCCTTGAGAGAAATGCTACCCTATCGAAATATTAAGGTGGATGTCCACAGGTTACGTCTAGTTTTAGGATACTACATGAATTCAAGAGATTTCCAATATATCCTTTTTGTGAAAATATAATCTTTAACCCGATATTCCCCACTGTCGTCCATGATTCTAATCTATTCAAAAAAATTGTTTCAGACAATACTATGACTAAAATTTTACACGGTTCTCGAAGATCAGGATTTATAAGACCGTCAAGAGACTTTTTACGAATACAAATAAATATGGTATGAGAGCGAATATCGAAATGAAGTAATTATTTGGAGTTAGTTGTCCGAAAATCAAAGCACGTCAACTGAGATGGGCTGGCTACGTCCAAATCTTCAATAATTATTTGTTTGTAAAGTTGATCTACGAGGAGCCAGCAACTCGTAATGCTCCAATATTAAACGGATGGAAAACATCGTCAGATCTGACAAAAACGGACCTAAACTTCAACCTAGCACTAGTGGTTGTACCAGATGGAGGCAACCTGTAAAGTTAACCAAGACCCACCCATATTTTGTAGTGGTGTTTGTAACTTGTTTGTAAGTAGGAAAGACCATTACGAACAGCCCATCGAGGCATGCTTGATTTATTCTGAAATGTAACACGGATTACAACCTAATAATATTATACTAAGTGACATATAAATCCGAACACCCAGTTTAAATGGTTTTATTTTAATAAAAGTTGGTGAATGTATTTATCTTACTGTAAATAGCCTTTGAAAAAATGTTCAGCCTTATCAGTTGGATATTCCAGTTTTTATACTGCTTTTTTTTAATTCACTAACGCTCTAAAAATGAATATTTCAGCCGCAGTAAAGAATCAAAGTTGGCGGATTTTGGTTCTTGACATCCTTTTCGATCAGTTACGATGCCTAGAGTACGGAGACCTGTACGATTTCGTCAACTTAGTCAGTTTGATAGGGGCCGTATAGTGGGACTTCGGGAAGCTGGACTTTCTTTTCGGGCAATTGCAGTTAGAGTGCAAAGAAGTGTAGACACTGTGGTTAGGTGTTGTCAGGCATGGCTTCGAGAAGGCCGTACGCAAAGAGCAAGGGGCACTGGACGCCGCCGTAGAACAACAGACCGTGAAGATCGCTGCCTAAGGTTATTGGCCTTAAGGGACCGTTTCTCCACTACCAGGTCCATTGCAAATGAATGGTTTGCAGAACACGGAAGACCTATTGGCATGCGAAGTGTTTACCGACGAATGAGAAGTTTTGCCTTGTTTTCATACCGGCCACACTGGGTCCTCCCTTTAACTCGAGTACACCGACATAATCGCCTTGAGTGGTGCAGACAACGGTCACTCTGGGATCAGGAATTGAACAGTATTGTCTTTAGTGACGAGTCTCGATTTTGTTTAGGCATGCACGATGGTCGTGCCAGGGTTAGAAGGCGACGTGGTGAAAGGAGGAATCCACAGTTTTTTGTTGAAAGACATGTTTATCACACTGTTGGAGTTATGGTTTGGGGTGCTATAGCTTATGGTTCCAGGTCACCTTTAATCTTCATCAGAGGTAACATGAACGCGCAGCGTTATATCCACGAAGTTCTAGAACCCCATCTTTTACCCTATCTTGACACCCTGGCAGATCCAACTTTCCAACAAGATAACGCCCGACCACATGTTGCAAGAGTCACAATAGACTTCTTTCAACATAATGATGTCACATTGTTACCATGGCCACCAAGATCTCCCGACTTATCCCCAATTGAGCACGTGTGGGATGTGATGGGTAGGTGATTGCTCAATTTGCAACGTCCTCCTCAGACTCTAGAATCACTTCGAGAGGAGTTGGTGGTTGCCTGGAATGAGATAACACAGGAGGACATTGACCACCTGATCAGAAGCATGCCTAGGCGCGTTGGAGAATGCGTAGCAAATCAGGGTGCATCCACACATTATTAAAGGTCAAAGGGCTTTAAAGCAGTGCAATCATTTTGAAATTTTAATCATTTACTTATTATGCTTCATTTAGTACTTACACAAAATTTTATTAAAATAAAACCATTTAAACTGGGTGTTCGGATTTATATGTCACTTAGTATATTATGGTATATCATGCACAGGACGCTTGAATTATTTACTTTGGTCAAAACTGCCTTTCGCTGATGTGTCACCCTCAGAATTTTTGAGCAATTTCTTGTACGCCTGATCCAGGCGTATTGTCACACTGTCCTTTTTTAACATGTCCCACAGTATCTCATCTGGAATGCAGTAGTAGATCAGCTGCCGAGCTCTTCTATAAATGTTCTTAAAGCATCTCTCTAATTCTCGTGTTTAAGGATGTCACTTTTACTTATACCAAAGACACATCAGCTAGTCCGTATGTTAGAGCGGAATACATGCATGCTTCAATTATTTCTAATTCGACATTCGAGCTACTCACTTTGCCCAAGGCATTGTATTTGATCGCGCAAATATCTCCTTCATTTCCTATTTCTGTAGATTCATTTAATATGCACAGATCATCTGCATCTTGTGACATCGTTTATCCCGTGACGTTTTCTACTGTCAAATTAGTAGGTTCCATGGTTAGGATCCGAGGATAAATCCCTGTGGTACTCCATAGCGTTTATGGTATATCTATGTGTGTTGGTGTTTTGGTGTAATTCTTTTTGCCACGTATTTATCTGATGAGCAAATAGTTTTCTACAATTTTGATCACAAGTCTGTTCGCGACTTGTCGCGGGTCCCGATAAAACAACAGGAATCACTTTCATACGTCCATCCCTCTCAGACGTTCATACGCAATCTGCCGCCATGAACAAATGTTTGCGTAAGCTCACAGACATACTTTTTTTATTGTCTCTCGCCGCATTCAAAATTTTCTCGTCAACGTATGAGTCTTCCACATTTATGCTTGTCATTGTCAGTATGATATCTTGCTTGGCATGAGCGCGCGAGTTTACCTTCTGTTGATCTTTGATGTAAAGCATGGCAATGCCTGAAGGTACTACTACGATGTCGACAACCTGCGTTTAATTTATTTTCGTCAAGTGATCGTTGGTTGTCAGAGCGGTCCGTGGGATCTTAGCTCTTGAGTCACAGTATCAGTTTGTAAGTCTGTCAGGTCTGGTAACCCAGAAACCAGACAATTTTAAGGAGAGAATGAAGAACGAGGGCAAAGAGGAAGAAGAGAATCTTTTAGGATAGGAAACGGTTTGGCATTGTTAAAATTACTTCACAGATTTTGATATGGTCTAAAAATATCTGATTTTTTTAAAGATTTTGTCAATATGCTCCAATTTTGGTTGTTCTAAGTTCACGAATTAATTTTGATTACAATGCGAGCTGCGCCCTTTTGTGCTTGCGAGCTTGTCGTCAACGTATGAGTATTTCTCATTTATGTTTGTTGCTATCACTATGACGACTTGCTTGTCATCTGTGATTTGTGTTCACCCTTGTTGCTCTTCAATATAAAACATAGTGCCTGATGATGCAACTACAATATTGACAGTCTGAATTAGAAATATCTACAGAAAGTGAGTGGAAACAACGATCATCTATCACCCAATTCATGTGCAGGAGTAAGTATCAGTTGGTACCATTAGTCAACCTGTTTACTTATTTTATATGACACCGTGAAGTCACCGCCGAAAACCGTGAAACGAACTATACGGGATGTCCTCAATGTTAGGACTTTCCTTCACACGGCATAGAGATCTTGGAAATATAAGTAGTTTTGTCTAATTACACATACACCAGTTTTAAGATTACTGAGATGGTAGGCTCCGCTAAATACATCAACCTAAACAAAACCTAATCCGGTCCAGTATATCGATCAGATTAAACGTCAACAAGTATGATGAAACAAAACATTTACACATCGGTTCCAAAATAACAAAACAAAAATTGCACACGCATACAGCAATATCGAACTTGTCTATATTATTTTAATTTACGGTGAGTGCTACGGAGGCTTTGCGAGTGCATGCAGATCGTTTTTTTCAAAATACTTCGTGTTTTCTTTTTTGTTTGGGTCGATGTTTTGATGTATTAAACTGAGGTAAAGACAGTTGACGAACTGCGTGTGCGAATTTAGCAAACTGCTGCATACATTCGGGAAATGCAATCCTTTCTGAAAGCCTACACTGATGCCTGGCTACAACGAGCACATACCAGCATCTTTCGATGAACGGTGAGTACTTTTTTATTTATATTTTTTTAATTTTTGCTGTTGTTTCATCACACATTAGTTTTATTATTATAAACGTAGTTGACTGAAAATAAAATCCCCAACTTTGATGCAAGTGCAACAGGTACATAATAAAGGTACCCATTCACATACAGTTCGCCTACAGAACTGTCATTTTGTATATCTTCAGTTAAAATTTGTCAATACACATGCAGGCCGCCGACAGGTCTGAGCCTGCAGATCACATGAATCCCATGATAGACTGATGGGTAATGTGGAGTAAAAACGGCAGTTCGAATCTGAAGTTCCCAACTTCAAACGTGTTGGAACATTTTTCATCATTTTGCAGCAAATAGCAGAATCGAGCAATAGTACTGCGTTTTTAAGTGCATTTATTAGTTTATATAAACAATTCCCTTGTTTGTAGAAAATAAAAAGAAACTCTTATTCAGACAGACCCTGAAAAAATAAACCTTACGAAAAATTACTGGTCTTATCTATATGAAAGTATCGAAAGCAGTTGATATTGTTAAGAAAAGAATTAACAATTTAAGATGTGAGCCTCCACAATTAGGAAAATTCCATCCACTATTATAATTTCCTGCAATTTTCTGCCATTCTTCAACTGTATCAGGAAAACTGAAAATAAATAGTACGTACCTATGTATACAACAATTCTTCAAAATCAATCTGGGTGAAAATGGTGCAGAACAAATGGATTATAATACTGTTATGGAAGACACCAG